TGGAAGATTTTGCTTCAAGAAATGCTTTTTTAAAAACTTCACTTTTTTGGCTAAGTGGTAAGAAAAAAAACACAGTGATGACTCATCCGTTGAAATCAAATCCTTCATCCCCCAAAAAGTGTTTTTATAAGAGGTGGGCGGTTTTTTTTTTTCTTTCCCCAAAGGCAGACTGCATAATATCTGGTGTTTCTCTCTTCTGAGTAATATATTCCATCTCGGTGGAAAGTGACCGTTTCAGACTGGAGCCAATAACGTTTTATTTTCAGAGCTGGGCGTAATACCCCCTTATTTGCCTTCAGCCTCCCTTCCATGCACCCCGCTGTTCACCTGTTTTTCTGAAGACCTGGAGCAGGATGGATGCCTGGAGGACGTTTGGAAACAGCACCAGGTATGAATAGCACCTGGGTGTAAACCAGCACGACACTTCATTGTCCTTCAATAGTCCAGCCACAGTCCATCTCTCTCTCCTGATCTCAGTTCTCCATTCAGGAGCCTTTATTCCTCCCACAGATCTCTACCAGAAAACATTTTCTTCCTGTTGTTTCTTTTTTTTTTTAATTTTTAAAATTATTTTAGAATTGTTTTCTTTTAAAATTTTTTTTGGGGGGGAGGTAATTAGGTTTGTTTATTTTTTTAATGGAGGTACTGGGGCTTGAACCCAGGACCTCGTGCATTCTAAGTATGAGCTCTACCCCTGAGCTGCACCCTTCCTCCTGTTGTTTCTTTCCCAAGACTCCAGAACTCTGTGTCATGACTGAAAGAAGGCAACGTGATTCATTTCTGATCCATGAAAACAAGCATCTCATTCCACTCAGTTGGTCGTCTTCTTGGAATCTTCCACACATACCTCCTTGCTGGAAAACAAAAATGCGAAACGTGTATCCATTTCTGCTCCAGACTGAAATCCACAGGAATTTGTATGAGTCCTGAGCTCTCCCCTCAGCCTCGTAAATCAGGAGAGAATTTAACAGAGATAGAACAAGAGATGAAGACTAGGAGAATGCAAGAGGAAACAGTCAAAAGAACCACCAGGGGTGGGAGCAGCAGCAGCAAGCTGCTCAGAACACACGTGGGGCTGGACTTAGGGTGACCACCTGTCCCAATTAGCCTGGGACGGAGCAATTCCTGGGCTCTCGGACTTTTCAGTTTTCCAATCTGGAAGTTCCCAGGAATCCCATCACCCTAACGGGAATCCTCTTCCTTAACCAGAGGCTCCCACCACTGCTCTGCCAGGAAGAGAGCAAAGCCAGAAGGACTGTGGGCACTTCAGCTCCGAGGTTCTGGGGACTACGGGATGTCAGGGATAAGGAGGTGGCAGTGGTGATGGGGAACATTACATTCAATGGCTCAAAAGTACACCCTGAGGCAGAACTCCACTCTGGAAGGAAGGGATCGCTTAATCTCTTTACATATAAAGTGAACAAGCTCATCTGAGTTTTTAAGTTCCTTGCCAGGCAGCCTTCAGAAAGAATCCTTGGGGTTTGGGATGGTCTGGCCTCTAGCCCAGTCCTGGGGCTCCACTTCCGTTCCCCCCACAGGTGCTGGGTCCATCTCCAGTGGGAGGGCAGTTATTATCCATACTTTCTTTTTGTCCTTACTGGCCCTCTGTACCCCTCACCGCTTCAACCCGAAGGAACCAAGTAGCAGTGCTGCCCAGCTCCAAAGTCACTGGTGGGGATGGTTACTATCACCACGGACTCCCCCTTCAGTGGCTCCTCTCTTCAAGAAGGATAACATCCAGAGGTCAGAACTAAAGCGAAAAGGATGCCAAACAGAACGCCCGCCTCAGGGGCATTGGCCTTCTAGTAGAATATAACTTTGACTTACTATTTACTCTTTTTTTTAATTGAAGTATAATGAGTTTACAATGTTGCGTCAATCTCTTGTGTACAGCATCATGTTTCAGTCATACATGAACACATATATAGTCCTTTTCATATTCTTTTTCATTATAGGTCACTACAAGATATTGAATATAGTTCCCTGTGCTATACGGTATAAACTTGTTGTTTATCTATTTTATATATAGTAGTTAATATCTGCAAATCTCATACTCCCAATTTATCCCTCCCCACTGCTTTCCCCATCTGGTTACCATAAGTTTGTTTTCTATGTCTGTGAGTCTCTTTATGGTTTGTAAATAAATTCTTCTGTGTCATATTTTTAGATTCCACATATGAGTGATATCATATGGTGTTTTTTTTTCTCCTTCTGGCTTACTTCATGTAGAATGACAATCTTCAGATCCATTCGTGTTGCTGCAAATGGCATTATTTTATTCTTTTTTATGGCTAAGTAGTATTCCACTGCATATATATGCCACATATTCTTTATCCATTCATATGTTGATGGACATTTAGGTTGTATCCATGTCTTGGCTGTTGCAAATAGTGCTGCTATGAACATTGGGGTGCATGTATCTTTTTGAATTAGAGTTCCCTCTAGATATATGCCCACTATTTACTTTTTGGGGGGTTTTTGTTTGTTCTTTGTATTTTTTAGGCAGTTTTTAACTGAAGTACAGTCAGTTACACTGTGTCAATCTCTGATGTACAGCGCAATGTCCCAGTCATGCATGTATATACATATATTCATTTTCATATTTTTTCTGTTAAAGATTATTACAAGATACTGAACATAATTCCCTTTGCTATACAAAAGAAACTTTTTAAAATCTATTTTTATATATAGTGGCTAACATTTGTAAATCTCAAACTCCCAAATTTACTCTTGATTTAGTGTTTTCCAACTGTTTTATTAGCTCTGAATTAGTTGAAAACCACTAAGCTACAAATGGCTTTTATACAGTAGTGGTGCAAAGGATGTCTTTCCCCTGTGGAGGTAAAAATGACTTCTGTTATAGAGAAGATAACACCAAAGATTGTAGTTTTAGTGCTCTGAAGAAAAATAACCAGTTGTGTATTTATCATAATGATCTCATTTCACATTTTTTTCTCTAACTAACCATATATCAGGTCCTCTTATACACCTGGTTCTCTCATTAATGAGTTAAAAATGAAACTTTGACATGTACTTATGATGCGCTGGTAAGAGAAGTATGCCTTTTTAACATTTTCAACATTATAATTTCCGCAGATCCCCCCCACCACACCACTGTTTCTGGTTCCCGTTGGACCCACAAAAATGCACTTCTAAGTCATGAGTCTTCTTCATCTTTCTGTCCTTCAAACACTGAGGACACTGTAGGCCTCCCTCAGGGCTGTGGTGAGTGCACTTTTGGGTAAAAATTCTTTAAAAAGTAATTACTCCATTGCAGAATTACAGATAATAGCAAAATCTGGACATGAAAATGTCCAGCAATAGAAAATTATGGTCCATCAACATTAAATAGTAAGCAGCTGCTAAGTGTCATCATTGTCAGGCCTGTCGCAGCCATGTGGAAACGCTCCAGCAAACGTGTGAGAAGATGGTGTTTAAAGTATGAAGTGGAAGGGAAGACAAATGGAGAAAATCTGTGAGGACAGGCCATTAGGAAGCTTTCATGGTTTCTTCTCAAATTTTATTTAACAGGTTTTTTGTTCTTTCAATGAAAAAAATGTAAAAAAAAAAGATAGTTTAAAACTTTAAAGATAGAGAAGATGTGCTATACATATACAGTGGAATACTACTCAGCCATAAAAAAGAATAAAATAATGCCATTTGTAGTGACATGGATAAACCTGGGGATCGTCATTCTAAGTGAAGTAAGCCAGAGAGAGAAAGAAAAATACCATATGAGATCACTCATATGTGGAACCTAAAAATATGACACAAAAGAATTTATTTACAAACCATAAAAAGACTCACAGACATAGAAAACAAACTTATGGTTACCAGGGTGGGAAGGGGGAAAGGAGGGACAAATTTGGAGTTTGAGTTTGGCAGATATAAACTACTATGTACAGGGTAGATAAACAAGGTCCTACTGTCTAGCACAGGGAACTATATTCAATGGTTTCTTATAACCTATAATGGAAAAGCATATGTGTGTGTGTGTGTGTATATATATATATATATATATAACACACACAAATATATATATAAAATATATGTATATATATATAT